ACAGGGGAGGAGGGATATTGGGCGGTAGTTCGTAGGGTGAGTTGGGCAGCCTTTCTCCTTGTACACTGGGATAATCGTGGCCATCTTCCAAGCGGAAGGGAACTCGCCTTGCTCAAGACTGTAGTTGAATAGTTTAGCCAGAGGTACACACAGGATGTCTGCACAGCGGCTGAGGACGGCATTTGATAGGTAACTGTCAGCAGATGATTTGTGCACAGACAATGTTCTTGCAGCTTCATAGACATCTGTGGATTTGATTTTTGTGAACGAAAATGGCTCTTGGTCATCAATGGTGCTGGATGATGGACAACGACTTGGTTGCTGATTTGGGGAATCTGCGGTGCATTGCTTCCTGAAGAATTCACAAAGGATTTCAGCTTTGGCTTTGCTAGATGTGTGGGTGCCGTCATCATCCGCGAGAAGTTGTATTCCACGCGGCTTACTGCCAATGTTGCATATCTTCTTTGCTCTTTTCCACCACGAGTAGCCGCCTGCTCTGCCTTTGCTTAGCCTCGATGTCCCCAGTGTAGACAAATACGAGTCTCGAGCTTTCCGTATGGTGTTGCGGTACTCATTTCTGCAGAGAATGTATGCTGCTTTAAGCGTCGGATTGTGTAGGTCTCGGCGGTGAAGTTTGTACAGGCGTGAGACTCGTTGACGGTTTTTTCTATGCGAGGAAGTGAACCAAGGCTGTGTATTCACACGGAAGGTTTTGTTAGTCACGAGGGTGGACCGTGCGATGGCTTGATCTAACGATGAGCACAGTGCCATGCATCTGTAGTCAATGTGCACGTCCTCCCCAAGTATACACTCTTCCAAGTGCATAGTACTGAGTATTGTGCGCAACTTGTTGAAATTGATTGTTCGTTTCTCTGTGGTGTTCTCCCTAGTCTGACCCTTGGTTGCTCCTGATACTGAGCGATAGATTGCAGACAGTGCTGACCAGGATGCGGAGCATATGACAGGGCAGTGGTCCGTCAGTGGCATCCCCACAATGCAATTGTCAAAGACATCAGGTGCATTTGATAATACCAAATCTAGTGATGGATTCGAATGGCTGGACGGTCGAGTGCCACAATTTTTTGACACCAGACTCAAGCCAAGATCATTGAAAACAGAATTTAGCGCACGACCGTCTGTATTTGTTCTATCGTTCGTGTTCCACTCCTCATTTCGGGCATTGAAGTCGCCTGTAACCACTAGTGGGCTGTTGTCCACCACCTCAGACAAAACCGAGAATGCATGCTTGAAAGAGGAGGTGTGATGACGTGGTGGCCGGTACATGCATGAAATAATGATACCATTGACTTGAAGTGTGATCATTTCTGATGACTGGTGCTCTAGGTCCGTGCGACGGCGTGCTGAGAGATGTGACGCACTCAGTATGGCAACTCCTCCACCTCCCAGTGTGTTCCAACTTACTTGAACACTGTCCCTGTCCCGTCGGTGAAGCTCGAACTCTGGAACTGATACTATTTCGTCGGGTGTAGTGCTATTTAGCCATGTTTCCGTCAAGCAGAGGACATCGATGTGGTGCTGCTCAATCAAGTCGATGAGTTGAACTAATGTTGACTGCATGCTGCGACAGTTCAGAGTGCATATGACGAAAGAGCCTGAATGCATGGTGCTATTCTGCAAACTAATGTTGTGGTGGAGTGGTGTAGTATGTACATGGGAAATAGAACAAGAAGAAGAAGAGGAGGGGTGCTCATCACATGCATTCATATGGGAGAAGTGAGTAAAATTATTAATGTGAGTAGTATATACATTGACAGCGGGATCACTTGCCTTTGCCACTGGGCCAGCGCTGTCCTATGCGTTGCCGTCTTGTAGGAGCTGGGCGATACGCTCATCCGGCAAAGGCACTCCTCCTTGGACTATCTTGTCGTACGGCAGCGAGCAGGTCACACCTTTCTTTCGCAGCGTCCGAAAAAGGGGAACAACAGCCTTTCTCGCCGCCTGTTGGTGCGGGGTCAGGTCGTGACCCACATACAACGGCCTGTCGAGGAAGGTCAGTTTGAACCGGTGCCGGAAAACTGCGTCCTTTATCGATATCGACGTACGGATGCGTACTGGTCGGGGGCGAGTTTCACTGTCGGTGGTGGTTGCCTTTTTGCCGATCCTCTCGATCGTGGTGTCTTCGGGAAGAGAAACACCAGCTTCTGACATCACATTCCTGCATGTTGTGGGCACTGCACTCACAGACTCAGGCAACCCGAACAAGATGATGCTATTGGATCGAGACATAACATCATGTTGCTCTTGCAACAGGGCTTGCACTTCCGCCCGTTTCACGAAATGTGTTGTTCCAGTCGCGGACTGATCATTTGCATTGGACGTGACATCATTGATCTTCGCTTTAGTGACGGCGGCAGCGTCACTAAGAGAACCGATTTTCTCGGAAAGCACTACTAGTTCTTGTCGAATCCGTTTTATGTCTGTTTCGGTATGGACTTTCACTGATCCGACATCCTCCATGCATTGCCTGATTTTCAACTCATTCTGCTTCGTGCCTTTCTCTAGGCTCTCAACTTTTTGTTTGACATTCGTCAAATCGAGCGTAATGGCTGCAATCTTCAAGGAAACATCATCGAGAGTGCCCTTCATGCTCTGTTGCCCGGCGAGAAGTTCTCTTAACAGGCTTTCAGAGGTGCTTACCGGTGCTGCGGGCGGGGTGTCCGGTATCATGGTGACGGCGTCACAGGACGCGTCATCATCCATTAAGTCCGTGTCTCCTCGTCTTGACTTTTTCTTTTTGGCCAGGCTCTCAGTGCTGCTGCTCCCTATCAGACTGCTGCTACTGGCTGAACCAGACTGATTAACTTTGCGTTTCCTACCCAGGCTGATACCTGGTAGGGGGAAAACCTTCGACAGAGCAGAGCTCATTTTTCAACATCCGCCTCTTAAGCACCCAACAACAGCGTTTCATGGCTATGTGTATGGGGATACAATGTATTCCGATATAGAAGTCTGATAGCTTACGGGACCTTATCATGTTTCAACCCGGAATATTTGAGACAGAAAACGGTTCCGTTTTCGATAAGCACTTTAGGGAGGTTCTGCTATACGTGAAACGTAGAGAAATCACGTAGAGAGCAGGTGTCTGGGTTAGAGTCTACGGCTTCGCGTGTTTTGGCTCCAGATTTCTACGCGGAGATGGGGTTCTCTACGTTGTGGCACACGCAGAGAAAATGCGTACGGATTTGCTGGGTATCGATCAACTTTTTTTTTTTTTTTTTTTTTTTTGTGACCAAAGAGAATGATTTTATTTCTTGCGCATGCGTTTCTAGAATGACGTAATACTTTTAGTAGAAATCATACATAATCCTTCTTGATGAATGCATGATGAAAAAAGAGAAAAATAATAAGGCACCCATTTTTATAGTCCAGGGGATGGCCCACGCCTGGTAAAAAGAATAAACAGAGAAAAGAAAAAAGACAGTTCAATTGCACACTGATCACTAAAGAAGAAGATGAGTCCGTCTATGAGGAAAGCCGAGCCTCAACCACCTCCAGACCAATATTGTCTGGGTTGAGATGGATGCGTGCCCTAGGACGTCTTGAACCGCGCAGGCACAGGATAGAGGCTCTGACGAGAGGTATCAATCAACTGCATGCAGAAAACTGCCAAATATGGAAGGGGAAATTCCCAGTACACATTCCACGTGACTTCTCTAGGTGAAACGTAGAGCAGAACAGCATTTCTTTACGTTACGGGAACGCAAAGAAAGTTCGCGTGATTCTTTGCGTCGCGTTCCCAAAACGTAGAGCAGAACCTCCCTTTTATCACGTGACTGTCACTCAAGCTCCCTGCACTGAAAGAACAAGCAACAGTCTACACTCTAGCTCTATAGAGCCATGGCAAGGCTCAGGCCTGAACATTAGCTGCATGGCAGCATACGAAAAATAAGTTCTAGTATAGTTCCCGGGATCCCACAGGCTGCGAGGCTGCACCGCATCATCCGTGCGCATACACAAATGCACATGATCGCGCTCACACCAGCGCAGCATGCTTCGAGCAGACATAATCATAGGGACATAACACAGCACACGATCATCAGACTCTGGTTTGATTAAAATCCATGGATCATTAAAATAATGATGTTTTTAAAAACGGGTACGGCTTGCCTTGGAACTACCTACTATTAAGAAGCGCATGCATACAAGGCGATATTGAGCCTTGACAAGTCACGCAAAGCCATTGCAGACCAGTACACCTACAGTACGCGTGCACGTATACTCGGCGAATACTCTGCACAGGCGTCAGCGGAACCACTCTGCATCTCTGAGCGGCGTACATGCACCAGCAACAATATGAAAATCACGGAGTCGATTCAACGGGCGAAAAGCCGCAAGGGGAAACGTCCCAGAAAGCATCTCCCAGTGCCGACAAACACAGGCAGCAGAGAACATGGAAATGCTCAGCGAAAATACACAAAAATTGCCAAGCAGCCATGACAAGTCAATGGCCGAAAGGCTGGGTTAGGAAAACGAGTCAAAAACTGGGACTGTGCTTAGAAAAGCGAATTGAAAACTGAAAATGTGGTTAGGAAAACGAGTCGAAACTGAAAACACTTTTTTTATAATAGGACGGTGAGTAGAGAGTTGGAAATACGTTTACGCAGCTAAAGCGCGTGATTGATTCACTGTACGGAGCAGGGAAACACCATTCATCAAAACGCCATTCATCAAAAAAATTGCGAAGACTCGCAGCATGGATAAAAATGACACTGTGCGGGGTTGGGGGGGGGGGGGGGTATCGTGCAAAATACGGTAAAAGCAAGACGGGTAGGCAGCAAGACACTGATGCGACCCAGCGCATGGCAAGTAGTACAAGACATGTTGATAACAAACTACAAATTGTAGCAGCCCAGAACCTACTCAGAAACACACACGTGCACACACGCGCGCGCACACCCAACCACACAGTGTACATTGTACATAAACAGCGGCTTCACTAATACATGTTGCACACGGATCGGCGACAGAATCAAGCTCAAGGGACTGGACAAGACTCTTGATTGCCAGTACGGTTGACGCTATTTACCAAACATACGGTGGGCCAGAGACAGATATCAACAGGTTTGGAATAGCAGCGAGCAGGCAGACGCAATGTAAAGCGCAGCGACGGCATGCTGATTCCTAACGAGAGCAAGCATGCACTCTTGCATAGTCCGGCGTGCAGAGATAGAGACGCCTGCACGGTGGAGGCGCTGGGGTCTCCTTTTTCTCAGCACACTGACAAAGGGATTGTGTACGTGGCACTGGTCATGCTATCATCTAGGCCAGTTCTCACAGGCACCGTCCGACATGCCGGCACATTACCAACACCACCGAATACCCGCTGGTAGTATCTGTTACACCGCCGTGGATGAGTGGAACACCAAGTGACTGCACTTCACTGTACATAGGTGCACCACGCACGGCATGTACAGGTACCGGGCAGGATTGGGGCCCAGCTCGCCAGCTCCCTCAGCAGCAACAACAGCAACCGCTGCAGTAGGTGGGCAGGCTGCATGGACATGACTGCTACTGCAGTTGATGGAAGAGAATGCTTGGATAAACGCTTCTTCTTTTTCTTCTGAGACTTTTGCTGCGTGTTCACCGCAGCTGTGACAACAAATCGCTCCACCTGAAGAATACAGATGGGAGAGAGAGAGAGAGAGACCGAGACAGAGAGAGACCAATAATTCAAATTACAATCCAAATATTTTGAAGTAGAAATTCGGATGCGTGAGACTCGGCTAGACTGCTTTTCCGCATCTGCATCCGCATACCACCACCCTCAAGGATCAAGGAGTTGGATGCAAAGAATACATAAAAATTAATGATTCCACTTACGATCATCATGAGAAAGGAGACGAAATAGACACGTGACAACTCACGAATAACGGCGCAATCTTCAGACCAAGTGATCATTTTAAGACATATTTTCACCGTCACGAACAATGACAACTCGCGAAAAACGACACTTTTCCCACCCACGATCCAGGGTTGACTGAAGCTCTGGCGCTGGCGAAAAGCTCGACAACCAAACTAGTCAGCAGAACATTTATCGAACACACGGTGCCCGAGACTCCAGCTTACTTTTTCACCCGTTCTCCCAAACCAGCAACCATATCCAAGTTGTTCTGCACCGTCAGACATATGTTATACAGATCTTGTAAGCGCTGCCGCAGACCTTTCTTGTCCTGAATCTGAAAAATTGGAATGTGCATGCGTGCACGTGGTGAGAACAACGGATGTGATAACACACACACACACACACACACACACACACACACACATATATATGTACACACACGTACACACACGCAAAGCCACGCACACACGTACAGACACAGCCAAGCAGACGTACGGACAACTCACAGAGAACAAACAGACAGAAGTACGCGGCAAATGAGCCATCTCGGAAAAGTACTACCGGTATTTTCAAAGTCCTACGGCACAGCGTACAGCAACAGCCGCGCTAGCAGCAGCAACAGCACCAGCTGCAGCAGCAACAGCACCAGCAGCAACAGCACCAGCAGCATTAGCAGCAGCAACGGCAGCACTAACAGCAGCGTTAGCAGCAGCAGCAGCATTAGCAGCAGCAATGTCAAAAGCTGCAAAAGGACGAGAAAGCAGCTTGGAGCAAGCCCAGCAACAGTAGTGAGCACAGAGCAACACTGGAAATACGTAGTCATGAGTCGACGTTGTGTAGAGCAGAGCAGACGAACGCCACAGTGACATGCAAATATCCATAGATACATGCAGATTGCACACGGCCACGGGACCAGCATACAGCCATGCAACATGCAGCCATGCAATATGCAGCCATGGGACATGGGATATGCAGCCATGGGACATGCAGCCATGCAACATGCAGCCATGGGACATGTTCGCATACAGGTATGCACAAGCCGGTGGAGGGCGGGCATGCAATAGGGCTTGAAAGTGCTACGTCACTCCATAGCAATGGCATAGCAACAATTTGAAAAATTCGAAAACTGGATCCACCTGGATCCAGTTTTTGTATGGATCCAAGCACATTTCAAGCGGTCTCACTCACAGCAAGGTGATGTTGCCAGTGAAACTGACTGATTTGGCTAGTGGGGGCGGGGTGACAACTGGTGGCGAAGTAAAAGTTGCACCTGCATACGACATGAGTGGGTTGCTATGCACCCACATACTGAGGCAATAGCAAAGTCACACCTTAGTGGATCCAAAATAGAAATCTGATGTCAATTTACTACTCCCAGGCCGTTTTTGACGTCATCACTTTCAAGCCCTATATATGCATCAGACGGATATGGGCACGTGAACACACGCACGCGTACAGAGGAATCGTCCGGTAGATAACGGATAGCCGAGGAAGGTACATTCCAACAGACAGACAGACAAACAAGCAAACGTGCATGGCAGAGTACAACAAGCAAGCAAACAATATGCCACCGACATGAAATCACCCATTCACAACACATCACTGACATGGAATCACCACCAACACGGAATCACCCATTCATAATACATCACCGACATGAAATCACCCATTCACCATTCACACCTTTCTGGCTGTGCACTCCACGCAACTGCAGACATTTGCACACCCCACTCCTCACACCATTACGCGGACTTCTGTACACACATGAAAGCGGCGATTCTTTTTATTATAATTTTTTATCCGCCTTCTCGCGTCGAAATCACAAAGCAAGGTTGACAGAGGCTATGCAACCCCCCAACCCCACTCCACCGCTCGCACCATTACGCAGACTTGTGTTCATACGTAAGAGAGGCTACCGGGGTGTGTACCGCAGCTCCTGCAAGCTCAGTGACTGACAATGTAGCAATTATCATAGTCCCCAACAGCCTCACTCAGAAAAACCAAACTACAGCAAAACCTGCCAATGTGACCACTCGGATAAGGCGACCACCTGTCCTGGAAGACCACTGAAACCAGGATTAATTTAGGGGATGCTATCATTCCAGTCAAATGACCCTGGATAAGGAGACGATCTGGTTACAGAGACCACGTTTTGAAGGTCCCTTGAGCGGTCGTCTTAGACAGGTTGCACTCACTGTACTCCAACGACACTCAGCTACATTACTGTCGGGTGGCAAAGAACAGCATGGCCGGGTGGGGATCAGCGGCGTAACCTAGGCCATTCTGAATTTTCTCGTGCTGCAGTCTACGTGCATTTGTGTCACCGTGTATATATTCGTATGCTGTGCTTGGTGAACTCCCAGTCTGTTCATTCTTTGGTGCCTGACAGACCCAGTACTGTAGACATGCAGACAACAGAAGCTACAGAAAGGCAAGTAGCAACCAGTAACGCACATGAGCATGTAATGTCAGTGTAATATCAGCGAGTGTGTAATGTCAGTGTACTAATATCAGCGAGTGTGTACTGTCAGTGTAACACACGTGAGCATGTAGAGTCTACTGTCAGTGTAATATCAGCGAGCGTGTACTGTCAGTGACCAGTGACACATGAGCATGACGCACTGTCGTGGACATGGAAATCCCGTCGAAGGACGCGGGGCCGGCGCCCTTATATAGCTTAGTGTGCACGGAACGTCGTTGCATGCACAGTGCGCATGTTGGTCACACGCGTACTCACGGCTGCATGGCCAGCGCTAGCGCCGCACTGGGGCCGCTTGACCTCCAACAACCGGATGTCCATGTCCACGACAGTAACATGATGTACAGGTAAGAGTGTAAACCAGGCAAGATAGCAGCTGCACAGCCAACTAACTACTTACAACATGATCCTCGTCGTCATCACTAGATACAGCCTGTATATGCACACATGGACACATGCACACATGGACACAGAAAACAGATTTAGATCACAATGACTCCTACATAACATACCAGACAACACCCCTATAAGAATAACTCATGGTGTAAGAGCACAAGAAAGGATGCAAGAAGACCTAGTAGAGGATGAATAATTCATTGTAACTCCCATCTCTGAATACACTCCCAAGACAGGTGATCTTCAAGACAGGTTGAATCCCAAGACAGATTGACTCCCAAGATTGGTCTGACTTTACACCATTCCACAAAGAGTAAATAGCCTCCCAAGAGTGTGCAACTCTGCATATGAGGTCTCCGACGGCGAAACTCACATCACGTCTCAAGTATGTTTCGTACTATGTACAAACGAAGGATAGCGTGCGCGCAAGCCGAATATCTGCCATGATCATGCTGGTGATTTGCATACGCGCAGTGAGTTTCTGTCAGAGAGTGCTTTTTTTATTACTCCGCTGCTCGCTAAAAACAACCCAGAAACGTACAACTGCGACACTACACCACGTGATGTGAGTTTTCGCCGTCGGCGTACCCCATAGAAAGGGTATCAGCACCATCAGGGCTTGCACACTCTTGGGGGTTTATGTGTTCTTGATTGCACTTACATCTTCCGAGGACACTTGATAGGGACTGGTCTGGTTGGTAGCTCCAACATTGTTACGGAAGTATTGCACCATGAAGACTGACAGCAAGAAGGCGAAAACCACCCACAAGTCGAACGTCAACACCACGGCCACGAAAATCTGAACGTGAACAGTACAGACATACACACACACGCACGTCAGCAGACACGTGTACGAGTGCACGTCAACACATGCATGTATGAATGCACGTGAGCACGCACACAAGAGACGGAAACAGAAGGTGTAAAAATAAGATGACTACAAAGCTGTGTTCACGCGTGTACGCCTGAAACCACACGTTTGTGTGTATTTCGCTGGCTTCTAGGGTGTCATGCAGATAGAAATGGAAATGGAAATACAGTGTAACCTGTGTCTAGCAACCACCCTTGGCTTGGGGCCAGAGAAAGCGGTCTTTAGTGACAGGTGGTCCTTAGTCAGAGGGTTGCACCGCACAACCATATAATATTATGGAATGTGAGGCCGGCCGTGCCTGGCAAAGTGGTCTGTAGTACCAGGCTGGTTGCTAGTCACGGTGGTCTGTAGTACCAGGCTGGTTGCTAGTCACGGTGGTCTGTAGTACCAGGCTGGTCGCTAGTCACGGTGATCTGTAGTACCAGGCTGGTTGCTAGTCACGGTGGTCTGTAGTACCAGGCTGGTCGCTAGTCACGGTGGTCTGTAGTACCAGGCTGGTTGCTAGTCACGGTGGTCTGTAGTACCAGGCTGGTTGCTAGTCACGGTGGTCTGTAGTACCAGGCTGGTCGCTAGTCACGGTGGTCTGTAGTACCAGGCTGGTTGCTAGTCACAGTGGTCTGTAGTACCAGGCTGGTCGCTAGTCACGGTGGTCTGTAGTACCAGGCTGGTCGCTAGTCACGGTGGTCTGTAGTACCAGGCTGGTTGCTAGTCACAGTGGTCTGTAGTACCAGGCTGGTCGCTAGTCACGGTGGTCTGTAGTACCAGGCTGGTTGCTAGTCACAGTGGTCTGTAGTACCAGGCTGGTCGCTAGTCACGGTGGTCTGTAGTACCAGGCTGGTCGCTAGTCACGGTGGTCTTTACTGTATCAGCATACAAATCAGACTTGCGTACACTAAGCTGTTGACTAGATGTACACTGACGTAACGTAATGTGTTTATGGCAATGGCGGTGGTATGACTGTGACTGCCTGCATACACACCAGACTTGCGTACACTGAGCTGGGGAGTGGATTTACACTGACGACGGCCGTTCATGCCAATACCAAAACTACGCATATCGTAATCTTGAACCGTACTGCAGCCATGCAGACGTGATGTATGGCTTCGAAGCACCGAGCATAGAATACTAAGTCTGTCTTTCAATACGTTCAGTGCACTGCGCTGCACGTGACCTTTGCTGCTATGAGACCAGCAGCTCCCCCGAGACTTTTTCACTCTCCCCCCCCCCCCCCCCACACACACACGTCACAATTCATCATCCGCGCCGCTGCATGCACACACAGGGACACTGTTGCTGCCAGGCACATACCAGGAAGGCGGAGGACGTCTGCAGCTTGTGCTTCCAGAGGAAGAGGGAGTTAATGAACTCCACAAACGCACTGACTGTGCGTACGAGGGACATGACACGCGTGATGTTGGCACTCAACACCTGTTGTGATCACAACATCACCAGGGAGGGGGAAGGGGGAGGGGAGAGAACACAGCAAAGAAGAAAAAGAACAGGCAACACACAGGCATTGCCAGTAGTCAAACCAAATCTACAAAGAGAAGCGAGCTGAGAAAATGCAAGAGAATGCAATTCAGCAAAAACAACAATACACACAGACACACACACACACACACACGCATCTAGAGAGATTTTGAGATTACGTAACCATACGAGATGCTTTGCATGCTGTGGCAAAAGAGTGGCACAAGCACGCATGCAGACACACGCACACACACACACACACGGCTCTGGGCAAGGAAATTTGGGCACAAGTAAACAGCAAAGCAAGTCAGTGACAGTTGCTACCTACCTGTCGACTAAACTTCTCGCTCTCCTCGATGTATTTCTTCCCCGACGGATTGAACGTACGGATGCTAGCGCGAATCTAGTCAACAGAACAGAGAACAGGTACAGAGAAGAGAGAAGAGAGAACAGGAACAGAAAGTTTCACTCGACAGGACAACAAACAGTAAGACAATAAGCGGCAGGACAATACGTAGCAGGACATGCAGTAGGAAAACAAGAAGCAGGACAGCAAGCAGTAGGACAAGTAGCAACACAACAATCAGTGAGACAACAAGTAGCAGGACAGCAAGCAATAGAAAGTAGCGTCAGGGGTACTCTAGCATATTATCGCCGCAGGAAAATGCCCATTGCAGTCGAATGCAGGCTGAGGGCTAGTCAGCAGTAACTGTCTGCCTCTGGTATCATTTGTCTGCGTGATATCATAAGTTTGCATTGGCAGTAGTAGTCACTGTCATAATAGGGACCTTTCGCACCACGCATACGGATACGAAACGAATGCTGATTCGTCACCTGGGTTCGAGGATTCGTCAGAGTCCCTGCGGAGAACTCGTTTTCATGAATGGAAGCCTCTTCATTCGTGGCGCGCTCCGAATCCGTCAGGTACACATTTATTTGGATAGGTACACATGTTTTGCAAGGTACACATTGTTCCGTTGATTCCAGCACCGTATAGCCTCTTGTACGGGCAAGAACAAAGTAATACAGCTGTCTTTGTGGTACACTCTCACAACACCAACACACAGAAGTCTCTGCTGAGAACACGGTGGCTCGGCAATGGCGAAGTGACCAGCGGGGTGAAGGATGCTCGCAGCTCCTCTGCGGCCGCCTTAAAGGCCTTGTACTTTCTCTTCTTGGAAGAGGCAGCACTGTTGGATACGGCGTTCCAAGAGAGGTTCGAGCGGACGTACGTTGATCCCATGATCCATGGACGTGTGCGTGTAAAAACCCGTACGCCAAGCTACCGGCCGTATTCGTAGTTGCCATGCACATTTGCGTGACGACTTGCAAAACCTGAAATCTGTTTTCAACGAAACGATTACGAGCCGAATCAAACTTTCGTTTCGCATTCGTTTCGCATTCGCTACGAAACGAATGCGAAACGAAAGTTTGATTCGGCTCGTAATCGTTTCGTTGAAAACAGACTTCAGGTTTCGCAAGTCGTCATGCAAATGTGCATGGCAACTACGAATACGGCCGCGGGCGCCGGTACCTTGGCGTACGGGTTTTTACACGCACACGTGCATGGATCATGGAATCAAGGGAAATATGTGTACCTTGCAAAACATGTGTACCTATCCAAATAAATGTGTACCTGACGGATTAGGAGCGTTCCACGAATGAAGAGGCTTCCATTCGTGAAAACGAGTTCTCCGCAGGGACTCTGACGAATCCTCGAACCCAGGTGACGAATCAGCATTCGTTTCGTATCCGTACGCGTGGTGCGAAAGGTCCCTAATAACAAGCCCTGGTTAGATTTGAATGCATTGAGTTCTTTATCCATTGTTGTTTTCACATTTTGCTGATTGCAATAAAAACTGTTGTGCCGAGTACGAAAGTAGCAGTACGAAAGTAGCAGTACGAAAGTAGCAGTACGAAAGTAGCAGTACGAAAGTAGCAGTAGGAGGGTAGCAGTAGGAGGGTAGCAGTAGGAGGGTAGCAGTAGGAGGGTAGCAGTAGGAGGGTAGCAGTAGGAGGGTAGCAGGACAAAAGTAACAACAACAAGCAGTAGGACGACGCACAGCAGGATAACACGCAGTAGGGAAACGAGTAGCAGGACAAAACACAGTAGAAAACAAGCAGCAGGACAACGAGTAGGAGGACACCAAGCGGTAGGACAACGAGTAGGAGGACACCAAGCGGTAGGACAACGAGTAGGAGGACACCAAGCGGTAGGACAACGAGTAGGAGGACACCAAGCGGTAGGACAACGAGTAGGAGGACACCAAGCGGTAGGACAACGAGTAGGAGGACACCAAGCGGTAGGACAACGAGTAGGAGGACAAGCGGTAGGACAAGCAGTTGGTAGGACAAGAAGCAGTAGGATAACGCGCAGTAGAAAGACTGAGAGCTCACCGGGTTGTAGATGAGGTCAATCAGTCAGTTCCAGTTGACCCTTATAAATGGTGCGCAGCTTGGTGTCCTTCAGGGTGTACCAACGCGTCTCACCAGGTATGATCTGAGCACACAGCACAGCCACCATGGTCAAATAACAGTGACAACACCATACAGCACAGCAGCCATGGTCAAATAACATCACACAGCACAGCAACACAGAGTGAGCTAGGGGTAGTCCCAGAAAGGTTTATTCATGCCTTCATAAAGGTTTATTCATGCCTTCATCAAGCCAACATAGCAAACTCTTCTGCCCTCCTCCTAGCCCCAACCTCCTAAAAGCAAATGCTTCATGAGGTTCGAACCCCTCCTCCTGACAAAAAGTCAAAAACCCAAATAGTCAGAACAAGAACAGCAGCAGCAGCAGCGCAGCCACCACCACCAGCAACACCAGTCACAGCAGCACCACCACCAGCACAACAAGCAGCAGCAACAGCATGAACAAGAGCATCGTACCGATGGCAGAGGTATCTTGATACGTCCAAGAAACTCTGACTTGTCACGATCTTCATCTGACACAGTGATGTCAAGCTGAGAGTGGATGTCTTTAACTTTCCTGAGAGAGAGAGAGAGAGAGAGAGAGAGAAAGAGAAAAGAGAGAGAGAAAGAGAGAGGGAGAGAGAGAACGTGTGTGTTTGCATGTGTGTGTGTGTGTGTGCGTGTACGTGTGTGAGAGAGAAATAGGATTACGGACAACAGTTTTTTTTCTCTCCTTGCGTATTTTGTATCTGCATGTTATTACCCTTTCCGTGAGTCGCTCGGGAGTAATGTATGAGTCGTGTATGGCTAAACCCGTATTTCCCCACTTTACCCATATGACTGTCTGTTGTGAACTGTGATTGGCTAATTATGCTAATGTTTCTAGAATTTCGTCGGCGACCGGTTTTCGTAGATTGCTAAAACACGGCTGCCGGTTGCCGGACTTTTGTTCCCTTGCTTTCTTCTTTCTTGTTGTCTTTCTACTCGCTTTGCATTCCAAGTGTGTATAATATTTCTTTCCTAATAACTACTGGTAAACTACGACGTGAGTGTTTAACTGGAGTGAGTGTGATTGCCTCCGGGGCCAGCTATTACATTGGTGGCAGCGGTGAACTGTTTGTGTGTATTTTCGTAGTGTTCGGTTACCGTAGTTAGTGCATTTACCCGTCGAGATGGCACAGCCTCAGGCACCAGCAGCAGCAGCAGCAGCTCCGGCCCGACCGGCGGGTTTGGGACGCCCAGTAGTACTACCACTGGAGTTCACCAGAACCAGCAGCGATGACTGGTTGACGTTCTTGGGCCAATTTTACGTCGCCTGTCAGGCAAACGGCGTTTCATGTTTACCAGACGTTCCGGGCCCAACATCCGAATGATACATACGATGAGCTGTGCGATCGCCTCACTGCCTACTTCAACCCTCCGCAGCATCGCCCGTCGTTCGAGGCTGAGTTTCGGGCAAGAACAAAGAAAACGACCGAGAGCCGCGTCTGCGTTGCAGAAATTGGCGTCAAGGGCCTACCCAGGCCAGGAAAGTACTGACCTCTTCCAGCGTTTACTGGTTAATCAGTTTATCGATGGCCTCCCTTCTCCAGAGCTTCGCCTTCATGTTCGAAGTGCCAGCCCGAATAATTTGGCCCAAGCTGTGCAAAGGGCTCTGGAAATGGCGGCCATATTTGACGCAGAGCAGCGTCGGTCGAACGGTGCCGCGATCGCGGGTGCGTCGCCGATACCTGCGGCCATATTCGCTGTCCGCGGGTCAAGCACTGCACTCCCGCCTGCTCCAGCAACTTCCATGACTTCCACTATCGGTATGACATCAGCCTCAGGTGGTAATTATGTTCATGATCAGATGTTTGTGTTGGACAAGGTTTTACAAAGGCTAGATTCAATTTCGCTTTCTTTGAGCTCTCAATCTCCAGGTAGTTTTCTTCCATCAGCACACGCGAGCGGCAGCCGTGGTTGGAGCGACAGTTCTCAGAGTGCACAGCAGGTGCGCCGTTGTTTCAACTGTGGCCAGACGGGGCATCTGGTGCGCGCCTGTCCAAACTACCCAGCAGGCGCGTGCACCGTATGAGTTTTTTTTCTTTTTTCGGGCAATCTTGCACAAGGAAAAGCGCGCCTACCGTTATCGTGCATACCGTAAAATCCCGCCAGAGCGCCCCTACCTCCTCGACGCTTCAGATGGGGAGGGGCGGATTGGCGAGTCCTACTTGCCGCATTCAGTGCTACATGAAAAAGTACTCACCCTACGAAAACTGTTCGTGCATCTCGTACACCGACCAAAGGTCAAGAGCCAGGAGTCGTACAGACCCGACAAAACTCAGGGTTTGCATGGTTTGTGCGATCCCTGGTCAAGATGGTGGGCACTGTTGCGTACATTTCCAAAGGGGTTGAGCACGCGTCTGCAGTGCAGTACGGCATCACAGACTGCGACAGAGTCATACGAGGATACAATCAATCACGGCCTGACAAGAAGTCAGGGAGGGGCGGATGGGAGAGACGGGGCGCTCTGGCGGGATTTTACGGTACATGTACGTGTCGATCGATGGACAGTTTACAGTACAGTGACTATGTCCTTATTTCGAAGTGAGAGAGAGTTGCTTTGCATGCAGGTCAAAATACATTATTCTGTCTGTCTTCAGTGGAGAGTAGCCACAGAAAGATCGATATCTAGCTATGGTCCGCTCCTAGATTGGCGATAACGTTGAAGAAATCCGTTTTGTCTCGAAATTTGAGTCAAGCACTCGCGATGCAAGTCAGTCCAAGGATATGATTGACGATATCTCCTTCCTAACTGTTGACTAAAATCAAGATCTCCACAGCCTTTCGTTCTCACTCATGTGCGCAGCAGAGATGTTTGTCAAAAACGTTGTCGACTGGAAGACGTAAAAATGTGCGTCCATGATCCACTTGCGCTGCTTCAGAACGAAGCGCTGCTCCGGCCGTGGCTCAAGGACGCGGCCGCGCGGGGCTTCGCTTTTCTTCCGCGAGTTTCCATCGAAGCAAGGTCCATAACTCTTTATTGAAATCATGTGGAACATTGCCAATACATGCTGAAAACTTCGTCATAAGAACAGAAAGAAAGATACGTCGACTGTAACTTGTAATCAGTGTTTTAATGACACAAACAAGCCTGGAGTGGACTAGTGAAGTACCTGTTATAGACTGTAGTGTAGCCCGGACGGCTATGCCTATCCAACTTTTACGACATACATGTATATGAGTACATTGACTTTTGCACCCTCTTTGCAAATAAGTGCTGGTATGTAAAACGTAACCCGTTTTATCCTGCTACCGGTTGTACATGTGCATGTACCAACATTTCCATGTAACATCGTCCCCTCCCTTCATTCCTCATTAGGACATTACCGTCTTATTTCTGTCCTTTCTACCCCTGGACCTGGTTCCCTCTCAGACGCGTTTGTGCCGGCATGATAGCGGTCGGAGGAGCCCCACATCTGATCAGCACCAGTGTTCATTGGTGCCCTGCACCCCTGATCTTGAGCCCCCCCCCCCCCCCCCCTCCTCCTCCCGAGCCCTCACCGTTATCTCCGGTGGGATGTACGGGGGATGCGCATATGCGCATGTGCACAATTTTTTTTCCAAACCAATAGACAAATACATAATTATACATTGGGTCTCCAGAAAAAATTACCAACTCTTAACCCCCCTTTCAAGACTTGGTGCACGCCACTGACCCAGAGGGTGCACGGAGACGAAATGGCCCACAACGACGATCGCAGGGAAACTAGCTGGGGCTGGCCCTGCTCGGCAAGAGTCAGTCCCTCCAGCTAGTTTACCCTAGCTGAGCAGGTCTGAAAACACCAACAAAATCAGCGAAGCGCTTGCCAAAGAAAAAAGGTGCGGAACTGCTTACCCTATCCCGCTGGAAGGTCGTTACAGTGTACTTGAAAAATGCTAGCTTGCCTTCATCGCCTGCCACCTGGAGGCATGCCGCATGGATCGCTTGAAAACGAAGTATGATTGGGGGGGGGGGGGCGCTTAA